GGAAGGTGGGCAACCCCCTGCAGCCCCTCCCCCCTGCTAACCAACCTCCCGTGGCCTCCCCCACACTGGATTACCGCGCTCGTCTGCTCCGCTGTTGGGAGGGTGTATCTCATTCTTTTTTTTTTTTTTTTTTTTTAATATATTTTATTGATTTTTTACAGAGAGGAAGGGAGAGGGATAGAGAGTCAGAAACATCGACGAGAGAGAAACATCGATCAGCTGCCTCCTGCACATCTCCCACTGGGGATGTTGCCCGCAACCCAGGTACATGCCCCTGACCGGAATCGAACCTGGGACCCTTGAGTCCGCAGGCCGACGCTCTATCCACTGAGCCAAACCGGTTTCAGCCTGTATAATATTCTTTATTTCAGTCAGTGTATGCTTACTTTCTAGTTGGTCCTTTATCACACCATCGAGGGTCTCATTAGATTTCCTGTACATCTCATCAAGTTTATCGACAGACTCTAGAAGCCTCTTGAGAGACCTCAAAAGTGTGGTTTTGAATTCTATATCCAGTAGCCTGCTTTCCTCCGGTTCTGGCCTTTGTGGCCTGTTTCTTTGTCTTGGCATTTTTTTATGCTTCGCTGTGTCGATAGAGTGGCTTTCCGTGTTAAGTGTCCCAATTACCTGAGGTAGACACTCTTGGTGCACCCCCTTGTGGTCTCTGTGAGCAGTCTTGTTGTAGTCAAGCCTTGATTGTTGTAGGTAATTACTACTTGACCTCCAGGCCAACTGGCTCCTGTCAGCAGTTGTTGACTACTCTGTTCACCACCGAGGAGAAGGAGAGAATTAAGAGGGAGGGGAGAAAACAGGTTTTAGATGCCAGGGGGGAACCTACCACGGATGAGGATAGGGTGGCGGAAGTTTTCCCCCCCACTCGGCCCAACTGGAACCCGAATTCTGCATCCGGGAGGGAGGCTCTAGACCATTACCGCCAGGTTCTGCTAAGGGGTATTCGGGTGGCGGCCCGAAAACCCACAAATCTGTCTAAGGTGACCGAGACTAAACAAGGGCCTAACGAGAGTCCCGCGGCTTTCCTAGAAAGGCTCTGTGAAGCCTATCGTACTTACACTCCCATAGATCCAGATGCCCCGGACAACCGCGTGGCCCTTGCAGTCCAGTTTATAGGACAGTCAGCCCCTGATATTAGGAAAAAGTTACAAAAGATAGAGGGTTTCGAAGGGAAGTCTCTCACTGAGCTGTTGGCCATTGCCCAACGAGTATTCGAAAACCGGGAGGACCCTACCCAGGCATTAAATGAAAAAATGGCCAAGGTCCTCATAGCCATGGAAGAGAGAGGCCGGCCCAAGAAGTCTAGGGAAGGAAGGGGCAAGCGGCAAGGGCAAGGACAAGGGAGAGGGAAGCCTTTAGAGCGCGACCAGAGTGCCTACTGTAAGGAGAAAGGACATTGGAAGAATGAATGCCCAAAAAGACCGGGAACCGGCGGGGCGACCCCCCTCTTGGTAGAGGAGGTGGACTGAGGACGTCAGGGCTCCCGAGCCCCCCCGGAGCCCCGGGTAACACTTAACGTGGGGGGAAAACTGGTAGACTTCTTAGTTGATACCGGAGCAACCCACTCTGTGCTCCTCGCCCCGGAAGGGCCCCCCGTCAGCCCTCCGAACCACCATAATAGGGGCAACAGGGAAGCCTAAATCTTACCCGTGGTCACAAGCTAGGGCAAGGGACAGTCACCCACTCCTTCCTTGTCATACCTGAATGCCCAGAGCCCTTACTCGGCCGCGACCTGCTGCAAAAATTAAAGGCCACCATCTCCTTCACGGACGAAGGACCAGAGATTCGCACAGGCGAGGGAAAAATTCTAGTCACTTTTCCCTTGGAGGAAGAGTATCGACTTCATGTCAGCCCACCCGTGAACCCCGAGTCAGACCTCCTATCGTTATGGCAGAAGGAGGTTCCCGAAGTTTGGGCCGAGGCCAACCCGCCTGGACTTGCAAAGCACAGACCCCCAATCGTGGTCCAGTTGCTGAGCACAGCACTCCCCGTCCGGGTCCGCCAGTACCAGATTA